GCATTTTCCCATACGTCCTTCAGATCTCAAAAATTCGAATCGCTTCAGGTGAATAATCTGAAACACATCATTGTAAGAGGAAATACAGCTCCTCATCCAAAGTTATGAGTTACGTTGAAGCTTCATGCATCAAATGCAGGTAGACAAGAGCGCTGTCATGTAAGCTGAACTAAATCGCCTTTTCTGAATAACGCAAGCTCAAGATAAAACCTCGCTGCTGAAAATGCGAGCTTACAATTTTAGCGGTCCTCAAAAAAAACGTACGTACTGGTGTGCAAAAGCTTCAAGGACGAAGAGTAACTTTTCCATGAAGTGTTACTGGCGAGTAACATAACTCTATGGAACCTAACACATAGAAAGAGCTGCTACAGTGCAGTACAGAAAGCAATTGACAGGAACCGTTAACGGTCCACAAAGCTGCCAAAAAGGTATGTTACTTCATCTATCTCGTCCTCAAGTTTTGCACACCAGTGTATGTAAACGATCAACTTAGCAAGCTTTGACCGAGTCAATTCTTGGGTACCCGACAAGAGGCCCGTCGCGTGGCGAGTAGTAGACGAATCAGCGGATGAGACGAGCGCGTATTGTGAGATTGAGGCGTTCTACGAAAAATTCTATTTACTTGACGCTAAATCGCTACAGTACGCGCTGCGACTCGTCCACTGACCCGTCTGCGTCTTTGCCTTTTCTCCGCTCTGACAGTTCTAAGCAAATCAACAGGTACTACGAGAAAAACTACTGACCAAATATCTTGGCAGCCTCCATATAGTCATAACTTTGTCCCTTTTTGTCTTCTCGTTGCACGTGTCGCAATGTATCAACGCATCCAAAGTCTCTGGGCAGCTGAATTTTTCTAGACAATGCTCCAGTGACGACGGAGCAAAGTGTCGGGACCAAGTTTCGGCCACTGACTCGTCGTCTTCACAAGCCTGTAAAAAAGAAATTTAATCTCTAAACCAACAAATTCCAACCACGATCAAACTCACCAGTTCTTGTGAATGATTGTATTTGAGATACAAAGCAATGGGCAGCCAATCAACAGCTATTCCACAGTTCTCGGGTATGCTGGCCTAGAACATGGTCTGTAAATCTATACAAGGCAATCAGTTTAATTTTATGATCTTAGTCTTTGAAGTATTCCAATCCATACGCCGAGATGGACCGCAAGAATTCTGGCTACAGCATCAAAATTTTCAGCAGATTTTTATTAACCTGCCAGAACTAACCGAGGTCGAATCCGGTCTGATGACGCAACCTCGACAGAATCGCAACGCCGGACACTGGCCACACCACTCCCAGGATTCATCAACGAGACACAACGAGAATGGATAGCCAAACGAGATGTCTTCCGACCTGCAACAGGGGCAAATCAGTCAAAAAGTGGCACTAGCGTAAACTGTAGTATACTAAATTTAGGTGGCTCCGACAAAATAGGAGTTTTCAGGTTACAAAGTACACTTAACTATAAAATACACATAATGTCAATTCAGTGACTATACGATATAATACGGTGCTCTTGGAATATTTCGTAAAAATGTCACTTCTATAATATGGAAGTGTTGGAGATAAATAACGCAAGGCCGATTACTGTGATACTTCGCAGTCTTAAGTAGCCAGTTAACATGTGAAAATCGGGCTTAAGAAAACTCACGGATCATGCGCTCTACTCGATATCGCTGGTGATGAAACGTCCATAAATCTGCGCATCTGCAAAAATATGCCCAATGAGATCGAACGAAGCGTCTTGAATGTTTCGTGTAGCCACTTTTCTTCACATAATCATGAATATATTTGCAAGCTACCGATGAACCTCCAGAAAATGACCAGCTTGGTTGGCAACAAACACGTCAGTATAATCGTCTTTCACAGAGCGCTTTGAGTACATCACTTCAAAATTTTCAATTCTGCCAGTGATGCTATGGAATTAAAGTCGTGAGGTGCGTAATTATCTTGACAGCCCAGCAGCTCAACACCTTGCTGTGGCGAAAAATCAAATATCAGTCTTACTTGGCTCATCACATCTTCGTACAACTCCTTTCCAGTGATCTTTGGAGGGCAGGGTACGATCAGCGGCAAGCCGAACTGCGTGACAACAAAGCCGCCAGTGGACCCAAGGAAATACGGTTCGTAGTTGTACTGCTAAAAAAGGATAAGCAATCAAACTATGTGACGTAATCTGAT